ACTTAACTGCTAAGCCACAGGGCCGGCCCGCAAAATTAAAAATTAATTTTAAAAGTTTGTATAGAAACACTGAGAACAGCCAAGAGTATTTTTGAATAAAAAATACGGAGAAGGGATTTATCTTACCAGGAATTAAGAGACTTCAGTAATGAACACTTGCACAGGAAATGACACACAAATCAATGGAACAGAACAGAAAATTCACATATAGATTCAGTGGGACAGTGATGCTTTATAGAATAGAATAGAATAAATGGTGCTTGCATAATTGGCTGAAATATGGACAGAAGAAAATTAGATTCCTATCTCACAGAATAGGGAATATCATCAATAGTCAGAAAATGAAAATTAAAACAACTATATGTGGTTTTATGCCTCTCAGATTGGTAAAAAATAAAAATACCAATAAAATCAAATAATGGAGAAGATTCTGTCACTGATTAGGTGCCTTGAGAAACTCAAAGGTGGGTTTGGAAGCAATTAACTGTTTTTCCAAGTTGTTTCTTTTCCTTTTGTGTGTTAAGGAGATTGTAACCACCAGCCATCCTGAAACTGACCAAGGGAGGCACTCAAGGGAGATGTAACCACCAGCCATCCTGAAATGACCAAGCCTCACCACAAGAGCTATGCCCCTGACCTTTGCCTTATTTTTAATGCAAAGATCTCTCCAGGAGGAGCTTAGGCCTCATTATGTGGAAGCACGTTCTCCAGCTGAGCCTGTGCAAGCAAATACCCGCCTCTTCCTTCTGAAGATTCATTCCCAACCAAATAAAAGTTCCTGCTTCCCTTTTTTCAGGGATGCCATGACTTTGGAAATGATTCCTTGGGGCCTCCTATTTGCTGCAAATACACTTTACTTTGTAAGACAACTTCCACTGGTGTCCAGTCTTCTTTAACTCACCAGGAGGCAAGCCCACTTGGTTAGGCATCAGTTCCAGAAACCTGCACTTCCAAGCATTGTTGGTAGGAATGAGAATTGCTACAACCTTTCAGAAAAGTTAATCAACAACATCTATTAAAATTATATGAGCCCTTTAACTCAGTAGACTCACTTTTGAGAATCTATCCTACAGAAATAAAAGCACTAGTATGTATACACTAGTATATGGGATGTTTATTACAGCAAAAGTCTCAAAACTGTCACAGAGACATCAGAACCTGTTGAGTTCTCCTATACTCAGGAAGATTTTGAAATATGTCATGAGGAAGTGACATCATATGTTTGGTGTAATTGACAGTCCCCAGGGTGAAGCTGGAAGGGAAGAAATGGAAGGGGAAAGGGGATTTAAATAGGTTTGGGGGGCTCTGTTTGCTGGGCTCACAGATATTCTGAGGCAGCACGGACAGAATTTTTTTCCAGTTTTTTTAATGTTTGTTGAACAGCTACCAGGTGCCAGACCCTATGATGAGTCCAGGTGGCACACAGAAGTAGTCAGGCGACACTTGCCTCAGAGATCTTAGACTTGCCTAGGAAGACAGAGGGACATTGGAGAAGAGAAGTGCTCATATGCTTCTTATTTTAGTGTTTTAAGAATCCTATTCATTTTTTTCTTTTTAATTGAAGTATAGTTGACAGACAATATTATATTAGTTTCAAGTGTACAACATAGTGATTCAACATTTATATACATTACAAAGTGATCACCACGATAAGACTAGTAGGCATCTGTCACCATACAGTTATTACAATATTATTGACTATATTCCCTACACTGTACATTACATCCCGTGACTTATTTATTTATAACTGGAAGTTTGTACTTAATCCTCTCACCTATTTCAACCATCCTCCTACCTCCCTCCCCTCTGGAGACCACCAGTGTGTTCTTTGTATCTATGAGTTTGTTTCTTTTTTGTTTTTTTGTTTGTTTTTTGAATCCGATTCATTCTTTTCTATATTCCTGCAAGTAAAATTGAGCTCTATATTGCCAATTTGCTTATAACACAAATTAATAAAATTACCAAGCCTAGCTTTAAAAAAATACAAATCTTCATAATTAACTAACGTAGTCTCTGGAAGAGATAAAAGAGAATCAGCATAGTGTTAAAAACAAAATTCAACTGAGTAAATTTTAAAGATCTTATTGGCTTTATTCAACAATTGATGAATCAGTCAGCATCCAGTCTAGCAGATAGAAAGGATCTCTGAGGAGCTGTACAAAATGAAAGATTTTTATAGGCAGAAGGGAGTGGGAACAAGGAAGTTATACTCGACAAAAAAGTGTGTTGGTCATTGCAAGGTTACTTTCCTGTAGGGGATGGCAGGAGTCCATCAGGCAGATTACCTAACTAGTGCTGGTCAGGTGATTGACTGGTTTAAGATTCCGTTTCTGGGAGAACTGAAACTGTAATTAAGTTTGGTTTGGTGTTCGGTTGTTAAGTTCGGTTGGTTTGTTAAGTTCGGTTTGGTGACTTCAAGCTTAGCATAAGCAACTCCATTTTGGGCGTGTTGTCTTGTTTTTAACAATAGAAAGGAGAGATAATATTCCACGTGATAAAAATTGCTCAACAAATCTGATTTTATAAGATAATGTATTAAGAACATTCACAGGAATGTCTATCTTGTTTTCCTGTGCAATATGGAGATTTGTGTGACTCTTCACAACTCTTTTGAACTGTATAATTTGTCTATCACAGCATGACAAGTCACCGCAAAACTTGATACATTAACACAACAACTATTATTATCTCTCACAGTTCTGGGAACTGACTGGGCTCAGCTAGGTGGTTCTCGCTTTGGGTATCGAATGTGGTTGCAGTCAGATTAGGGGCTGGGGCTGGAATCATTTCAAAGTCTCCTCACTCAAATGTCTGGTGGTTGATGTTAGTTGTCTGCCAGAATATCTACACATGGCCTCTCCATTTGGCCTAGGCTTCCTCAAAGCATGATGGCTAGGTTCCAAGAACAAGCATCCAAAGAGAACCAAGTGGAATCTGTTTCACCTTTTATGACCTAGCCTCAGAAGTCACATGGTGTCACTTCCTCCATAGTCACAGATTCAAGGATTAGGGACATAGACACTACCTCTCCATGGAAGGAGCATCAATGTCACACTATAAGAATAGAACATAGGATGGAAGATCTTCTACCATCTTGGAAAATTCAATTGGCCACAAGGCTTATTCTGTTCTTTGTTAATAAATCAATGTAAATGTAACTTGAACAAAGAGGTTTAATAAGACTTCAAATTTTTTTTTAACTGTTGCCCTGTCCCATAAAAAGAATTGTGCTAGATATTTTCTGTTTGCTCCTTTAGAACCACTCTCCACCAGCCTCCACCCTGTTCTGTGCCCGTGAGCGCTGGCCTGTATGGAATGCATGGATAAGCTCTCTTGCCTATTGCTCTCTTCTCATTGGGTCCTGCCAATGAGTAGCACCTACAGAAGATCAAAGGTTCAGAAGAAATGAGGTCAGGATATTTATTCTCTGGCTGGATTATGGGTTGACTTCATTTCTCTAGTCACAGCTTCTGTCTGAAGACCCTCTCGTACCCTATTCTTCCCCTTGCTGCTCCCTCCCCTTGCCTCTTTAGGAGAAGGGGTAGCAATAGCTCCCCAATGTTGCTGGCTGTGGAATGCTTCACTCTCTTTGGTTGGTTTCTTTTAACCCAGTCTACAACTTTGTAAACAGTCCCTTTATTAAACTCTCCTTAACTACTTAGTTTGAGTTTGTAGGACTCAGACAAACTATTCTTCAAAACCTGTAATTCCGTTAAGTGATCTTCCTGGAAATAATTTTATAATAGACACTTTTGTATTCCTAAAGAATATAAATACTTGTAAGATTGCTCTGTCATATCATCCATAATATAGAAAAAATAAAAGCCTATGACTCTGCTAGATTTGCTATTTTAATAGTGGTTAAGAAACTTGTCTCATTTAAATTAACTGCATTGAACAAGCAATTCCACACTTATTTAATTACATTTACGTAAGCACCGCAAAGAAGAAAGTATGAAGAGCTATAACAGGGGAAACTGACCCTTCAGGAGGTGGGGTTAGGGCTTCCCTGAAGAAAGACATTTAAGGAAATCTCAGGCAGGAGGGGACACATCTAGTCTCAACTGGTAAAAGTCAACAATTATTCATCATTTCCTATGAGCCAGACACTGGTCACAAATACTTCAGACATATTATCTAACTTGTTCTAAACTACCCTGTGACATGGGTATTGCTTTAATATTTCTTTTTCATAGATGAACCGAAGGCGAGTTAAATAACTGAGAATGGTTATACAGTTCATTATTGAATGACCGGATAGATATATGAAGAATGGTGTTCTATGCAGAATTTTCATTTTGAGAAGAAAGTCAAAGCCTCAAGTTAATCCAAGAAATCTTTCTGCATCATGGAGACGCTTGAGGAAGAGATCTCAAATACCCTGTCAATTTTTTCCTTCTTTCCTTCATTCAACAGCATGAAATTAATTCATACTCTGGACCAGTACAGTTCGGGGCGCAGGGAATCAGTTGTGACCAAGATAGAAATAGACCCTGTTCTCTTGGGGCTTAAGTTGTACTGAGCAACGGGCCAAAAAACTGCTATGCAGAGATTAAAATGGGATGACTTGATGGTGACTGGAGGCCTACTTTGGATTGGGTAATCAGAGATCTGAATTGCAAGGTTGGTCACTGGATGGCACAACCTGTACTCTGGGTTACTTTCTCACACATTTGGCGGTTTCTTCCTTTTATCCCATTTCCTCTTACTTCCGTTTACCGTCCGAACCACATACTCCGATACCGCCAACACCCAGCCTTTCCTGCGGTTTCACGCGCGCCGCTCAGGTGTGTCCACTCAATGCGCCTGCGCACAGGACGGGCCCAATCGGATACAGCCCAGAGCTGCGGGGGCGGGGATTGGTTCTCCGGCCGGGGGGAGGGGCAGCAGAAAGGGGCGGGTTTTTGTCCCGAAACGTGTGGCTGCTGGCTGCCGGAAGTGAGCCGAGAGTCGGTAAAGTTTGTTGTCGCCGGAAATCTCGGGGGTGGGGGGGGTGCGGGAAGCGCAGCCGTGTGATGGCGGCAGAGGATAAGGCTGAGAAGGTGGGTGGCAGGGGTTGGGGGGACAGGGGAACCTTTGCGGCTAGAGGCGTGGCCTAGATGTAGAGGCGATGGGGAGGGAGGGAGGCGCAGACTGTGGGGTCAGGATCGGCGGGGAGGGCCCGGCGGGACCGGCGGGGAATCGGCCGCGCAGTCGGGGGCAGCCGAGCCGGCCCCGTCTCAAGCCGGCCCTCCTCGCCGCAGGGGCCGGTGGACAGCGCGGAGGAGGAGCAGGCCCTGGCGACCCCCGAGGAGCTGGCCGCCCAGAAGCGCGAGCAGCGACTGCGCAAATTCCGGGAGCTACACCTGAAACGGGTGAGTAGCCCCGGAGGCCAGCTGACACCTGTCCCCTGGCCAGGCCCGTGCGCGTTCGGGGAGAGACAAGGAAGCCGCAGCAGCGCGTCTGACAGACCCGCAGAGCTGGATGGAAGATCTGTCCCGGTGTTCTCAACCCTGGCAGCACATTCGAATCACTTTAGAATTTTTAAAAAGTATACATGCTTTAAAGCACACTTCCAGGGTGTCTGATTTAATCAGTTTCTGGAACCAGATATTAGTATTTTTTTAAGCAACTTCTCACATTCTCCTTTCAGTTCAAGTGACTTTATCAAACCCTTGTTTTTATAGAGAGGGATACTGCGGATCAGAGATGGAAAGGAATTAGTCTGTCGTCACACAGCGAGTAGGCCGATCACTCATTCATCCCCAAACAGTGTCGTCTCCCTCCGTCCCCACCCCCACCCCACCCCCGCATCTAGTGTGCGATAGCCAACTAGATAGTGCGGATATAGTAGTCAAAACGGTAAGTCTTCTGCTGGTTATGGAGGCAGGTCCATAACCAATAATTACTCCCACAATGGTAATGCCCTTTAGAGACGAACAAAGTGCCTCAGAGGAGCAGAGAAAAAAAGACTGACAACTAAAGATGGAGGTGACAACTAAGCTGCTTGAAAGATGAGTAGGCTATTATCAGACATATAAAGGAGTTGGGGGAGGAGGTGTCCAAGCAGCAGGTACAACTGCGAAGGAGGAGTCCTTATCAGGGTAGGAGGCCAGTAGGCAGCTGGGTGCAGCTGGAGACAAGGGTATGTTTGGGGAGGGTAGTTATCTCTGTTGGCCCAGAAAAACTCAGATCTAAAAACTAGTTGAACACACATACTTAATTCACTTGAAATATTGTATAAAGAATAGGAGGCCAGAGAATATGTGAAGAAGCAATGATATAATTAGAACATCACCTTTTTGCAATCTTTAATGAATCACTATCTAGCTAGTAATTAATGGCTGTGAACGTCACAAAAAGGGAAAAAATCAGAGATTACGTGTCTCCTGATGGAAATAAATCCAAATCTAGTCTGCTTTGGATGACCTATCATACAAGAAGACAGGTAACATCTATTTGGATTTATTTCCATATTTATGCTGACAAACTTTGTGTGTCCTGGTGGTAGAATGAAGCTCGAAAATTAAATCACCAGGAAGTTGTGGAGGAAGATAAAAGACTTAAATTACCTGCAAACTGGGAAGCTAAGAAAGCTCGTTTGGAATGGGAATTGCAGGAAGAAAAAAAGAAAAAAGTAAGTGCAATTCTGCCATCCTCATAAGCTGTGGATTCAAAAACTGTTTTGGTGAGGTGGTATATAGCATGGTAGTTAAGCATTCTGGCTCTGTTCTCCTCTGTACCTCAGAGAGTTGTGAGAATAAAATATGTAAAACACTTAGCACAGTGCCTGGCACATAGTTACAGCCACATAAGCAGTGGATATTAGGGTACAAGGCTAAGCTACAGTAACAGAAGCTCCAACAATAAATGATAAAGCTTATTAGTCACTCATGTTATCAGTTCCCAGCTGAGCAGCCTAAGTCAGAGGGGCAGCTCTGTTCCATACAAGTGTCCATTCCGTTGTTGCTCTGCCATTCCCCAGCACGTTGTTGGCTGTCTGGATGGGCAAGGCTAAGTGGCTGCAAGTTCCAGCCAGCAAGAAAGGGTATAGTGTAGAGGCAGCACAGCCATGGTTTCAAGGTCTGACTTTGGAAGCAGCCTTCAGCACCTTTTTTTTTTTTTTTTTGTGAAGATGATCAGCCCTGAGCTAACATCCATGCTAATCCTCCTCTTTTTTCCTGAGGAAGACCGGCTCTGAGCTAACATCTATTGCCAATCCTCCTCCTCCTTTCTTTCCCCCACAAAGCCCCAGTAGATAGTTGTATGTCATAGTTGCACATCTTTCTAGTTGCTGTATGTGGGACGCAGCCTCAGCATGGCCGGAGAAGCGATGCATTGGTGCGCGCCCGGGATCCGAACCCGGGCTGCCAGTAGCAGAGTGCGCGCACCCAACCGCTAAGCCACGGGGCCGGCCGCTTCAGCACCTATTTTGTTGAAAATTTAAGTCACTTGACCTGATCCAACTGCAAGGGAGGTTGGGAGATGAGCAGCCATGAGCCCAGAAAGGAGGAGAGAAAGGATATTGATGGCCAACTCATGTGTCTACCACAGGTATTTTTGGTGTCAATGTTATAGATGTATTACTTCTTACAGACATTAGCAAATTCCAGTTTTCTTTGTTAGTCAACTTAGTCTTTTTTTTTTGCTGGGAAAGATTCGCCCTGAGCTAACATCTGTTGCCAATCTTCCTCTTCTTTTTTTCCTCCCCAAAGCCCCAGTACATAGTCGTACATTCTAGTTCTAAGTCCTTCTAGTTTTTCTGTGTGAGCCACTGCCACAGCATGGCTACTGACAGACGAGTGGTGTGGTTCTGTGCCCGGGAACCAAACCTGGCTCACCTAAGTGGAGCCCACCAAACTTGAACTGCTAGGCCATGAGGGCTGGCTGTCAATTCAGTCTTAGTGGCAGTTGTTAGGCCTTTCTTTTTTTTTTTTGTGAGGGAGATCAGCCCTGAGCTAACATCCATGCCAATCCTCCTCTTTTTGCTGAGGAAGACCGGCTCTGAGCTAACATCTATTGCCAATCCTCCTCCTTTTTT